ACTCAGACACTACAGTGGAAGTGTGTTGAATCAAGGGTAGACAGTAAGCGTCTTTATTATGGACGCTTTATTATGTCTCCACTTATGAAAGGTCAAGCAGATACAATAGGCATTGCAATGCGAAGAATTTTGCTCGGAGAAATAGAGGGAACATGTATCACACGTGCAAAATCTGAGAAAATACCACATGAATATTCTACCATAATAGGTATTCAAGAATCAATACATGAAATTTTAATGAATTTAAAAGAAGTTGTATTGAGAAGTAATCTGTATGGAACTCGGGACGCGTCTATTTGTTTCAAAGGTCCTGGATATGTAACTGCTCAAGACATCATTTTACCACCTTCGGTGGAAGTCATTGATAATACACAACATATAGCTAACCTAACAGAACCTATTAATTTGTGTATTGAATTAGAAATTGATAGAAAGCGGGGATATCGTATAAAAACACTAAACAACATTCAAGATGGAAGTTATACTATAGATGCTGTATTCATGCCTGTTAGAAATGCAAATCATAGTATTCATTCTTATGTGAATGGAAATGAAAAACAAGAGATACTAGTTCTCGAAATATGGACAAATGGAAGTTTAACTCCTAAGGAAGCACTTTATGAAGCCTCCCGGAATTTGATTGATTTATTTATTCCTTTTTTACATGCAGAAGAAGAAAACTTAAATTTTGAAAACAATCAACACAAAATTACTTTGCCCCTTTTTACTTTTCATGATAGATTGGTTAAGGATAAACTAAGGAAAAATAAAAAAGAAATGAAATTGAAATCTACTTTTATTGACCAATTAGAATTGCCTCCCCGGATCTATAATTGTCTTAAAAAGTCCAATATACATACATTATTTGAACTTTTGAATAAGACTCAAGAAGACCTTCTGAAAATTGAACATTTTCGCGTAGAAGATTTACAAAATATATTATTCAACTTTTTACAAATCGAAAAGCATTTTTTATAAATTGAAAATCTATTGGATTTTTTTGAATCTTTCATTTTTATAAAAAGAAAGGTTCAAATATGAAATTTGAATCTTTAGCACAAATCAATATATTCAGAATAGGTCTAAAATGAAATAGATGTATCTAGGGATTAGTCATTTCAAAGTGAATTTTCCCTAGATACACAACACAATACACCTGTCATGATATTTTACAATAGAATCAATTTAAAAAAGACCTAACGTTAGGGATTTTTCAATAGGTAATGTTGCTCCAATACCCAACCAAAGAGCCACGACAGTACCAATCAAAAAGACGGTTGTTGCTACTGGACGCCGAAATGGGTTTTGGAACTTATTCACATTCTCCAAAAAAGGTACTGTTAATAATCCCGCCGGTACTGAAACCATTAAAAGAACGCCCAATAATTTATTGGGTACGGTACGAAGTATTTGAAATACGGGAAAAAAATACCATTCGGGCAATATTTCCAAAGGAGTTGCAAACGGATCTGCGGGTTCCCCAATCATTGATGGTTCGAGAACCGCTAAGCCTACGTTACAGGCAATAGTACCCAGAATAACTACTGGAAAAATATATAAAAGATCATTAGGCCATGCGGGTTCGCCATAATAATTATGACCCATCCCTTTGGCCAATTTTGCTCTTAATACAGGATCATTCAAGTCAGGTTTTTTTGTTATTGGGATAGGTGAATTCTTATAGATCCATCCTCCGAAAGAACCGGACATGATAATTTTTCATCATCCGGCTCGAGCACGAATCAAACCAACTGAATGCAGACATAGAAATTTTGTAGATGTGAGTCACTCATATATCATGATTCTATGTAATAAAACGGGTTGAATTCTTTTTTTTCCGAAATTACAACTATCCATTGCAAAAAATTAAGTTCTTATTTTTAAGTAAATGCTTTTCACCCAAGTAAGTTTTAAAATAAAAATCAAAAGTTCTTTCTGGGTGATCTCAAACCTTTCGCCTGTTATACCTCGAAAAATGAATTTTGGAATTTTTGACATAGAAAGGATTTACTTGTTACTAATAGAATACAACCCCCCTTTTTCTTTAGATCTACTTGTTTAACTCCGATAGTATCATAAATTGAGTCAATGCATAGGAAATGAATGCATTTCCATACTATGTAAGTTTAATGAAATACATACGACATAATCTAGATTATATCATATTCCTTTTTTTACTGGATATTACGGAGCCTGTTCATGCAGGATATGATCGAGTCTGATCATAGAAAAGATTATCTTCAAGCGAACCGGACTATCCTCTGTAGAGGACTGACGCGGTGGTTGGAACAAAGACACATTTCATTGTGAATTCAAATGTGGCAGATAAGATCAAGTCATATATCTGCATGGCCCAATCAATAGTTCAAGTCACACACTCCCATAATCCATTCTTTTTTCGGAGAGTTCCCTTCAACTATTTGTGTATGTCAAATAAAGAATCCAGTTTATTTTGTTAAGTTGAAGGGAAATATCCAAATACATGTCTTATTAAAGAAAAATAATGCATATTTGTAGCAATGAAATACTATTACTCCTCCCCAAAATGATTGATTACAAATCTCTATGATTCATATTCTCTATAAAGGACCAGAAATTCCTTGCTTACGTATCATTGGAAAGTGCATTAACATGAATACGGCAGTAAGAAGAGGTAATACAAAAGTATGTAAACTATAAAAACGAGTCAAGGTAGATTGTCCCACACTAGCACTGCCGCGCAATAACTCTACCACCGAGGATCCTATTACAGGAATAGCGTCGGGTACACCCGTTACAATTTTGACTGCCCAATAACCGATTTGGTCCCAAGGTAAGGAATAACCTGTTACACCAAAGGATGCAGTCAATACACCCAAAACTACACCTGTAACCCAAGTCAATTCGCGAGGTTTTTTAAAACCACCAGTGAGATACACGCGAAATACGTGCAAGATCATCATTAAGACCATCATACTTGCTGACCATCGATGAACTGATCGGATTAACCAACCAAAGTTAGCCTCAGTCATTATATATTGAACAGAAGCAAAAGCCTCCGTAACGGTTGGACGATAATAAAAAGTCATAGCGAAACCCGTCGCTACTTGGACTAAAAAACAAGTAAGTGTAATTCCTCCTAAACAATAAAATATATTGACATGAGGAGGTACATATTTACTAGTTATATCATCGGCAATCGCCTGAATCTCAAGACGTTCTTCGAACCAATCATAGACTTTATTGAGATAGGTAAACCAAGGGACCCCCCTGAGAACCGTATATGAGAATTTCATCTCGTACGGCTCAAACAAAAATACTCAAATACTGGTTATTTGGAAAACGGATACGTGTAATAGAAAGTCTTAAACTTTTTCACTTAATCCTATTATTCCAGTCTTTTTTGAAGATAAAAAAAAATAGAAATCCAAAAGCTATTCTTAGTGTTTATAATGTCAAAATTTCAAGTCGGCTCACTCGTCTTTTCTCTTGATCCTTACCGGCCTCTTGAATATTCTATTATTTACTTCATTTTTTTTGTATTGTGTATGTAATAAGATTTTACTGCTGTTTTTTTTTATGATTAATAAGAATTTTCTTGTTAAGACCCTATAGAATCAATTTAAAAACCTGAGATTCATACCAGAACCACGATGATTTCCCCAAAAAACCTTTAATCGAAGTCCATAAATTCCCTGAGTAAGAACTGCTGGATCATCATTTATTCAATTAATAGATAGAATGAAAAAAAAAAAGACAAAGAAATGATAAGCGGTGGCAGTTTTAAAGAATAAAATTCCATTTCTTTTTCTAAATGAATTCTTATAATTCTTTCATTTTTTTTCGTCCGGTTGCGAGGTCTAAATATCAATATAAATATGAAGTATGAATCATAGTTCTAACACTTTAGAATCTATTTATTTTCTATATTCCGTGCTCCAGATACTAGAATAAATATCTGACGGGGGAAAGCCATCTATCAAGATAAGATGACGTATCCATTTTCTGTTCTGTACTATCAATAGGATCCATTATAACAAGTCACACACTCATATTCCGGAAATACAGAAACAAAGAAGTTTCGCGGTCGAACTACCAAATCAAAATGGAATGGGCTAAAAATTAACGATTTAAATGCTAAACTTGACTTTTCGATTGAAAAGCTAGTTAGTTGGTTCTTGTGAATCTAATTCTCTAATTCATAGAAATTTGGTCCAGTAAAAGGGACGAATTATAAATCTCTAAAATAATAGAGAGAAATACCGCAAATAGGGCCATTGCAATCCCCATCAAAGGGGTAGTTCCCCACCCCGGAGCTACTTTACCATATTCTGAATTCAATGGTTTCAATAAATCTCCTACAACAGTTCGTCTTGGACCAGATCTAGAACTACCCTCAACGGTTTGTGTAGCCATAAATCCTATATATCTTTTTTTTATTGAGATCTGTTGACTTTGTATACCATTCCGCTGTAGATAAAGGATCGTACCCTATAGATCCATTGTAGTCTTGATATTCTATAATCATGGAAACAGCAACCCTAATTGCCATCTCTATATCCGGTTTAATTGTAAGTTTTACTGGGTATGCCTTATATACTGCTTTTGGGCAACCCTCTCAACAACTAAGAGATCCATTCGAAGAACATGGGGACTAGTTGAAGTAATGAGCCCCCAATATCGTAATATTGGAGGCTCGTTACTTCAATTGAGATAATTAAAAATCATTTTGTGTTTTTAGTTGGAACTTGAGGGGGTTCTCTAAAAAAAATAGCGAAAAAAATGATTCCTAAAGTCGAGACTAAGAGGAATGTATAAACCAATGCTTCCATAGATTTGATCGTGGTTTACAATTATAGCTTTCATACCTGTTTTGGGGGAATTATCTCCTGGATAAAGAAAAAGAAAGAACCAGAGTAAAACAAAATGGAATGATTGAAATCAATATTTCTCTAGTTCCCTATATCAAATTCAAATAACAACAAAAAAAGTCGAATCGAAAAGGAACAAACCTATTTCTATCAGACTCCCTGTTTTTTTGTAGTTGGATCTCCAAGTTTTTGGAATGCTCCAAATTCTACTTGCGCATCCAAATCTGGATCAATACCAGCAAAAACATCTCTGAACAAGGTTCTAGCACCATGCCAAATGTGCCCGAAAAAGAAGAGCAGAGCAAACGAAGCATGTCCAAAAGTAAACCAACCCCTTGGACTGCTACGAAAAACACCATCTGATTTTAAAGTAGCACGATCTAATTCAAAAATTTCACCCAATTGAGCACGTCGAGCATATTTTTTCACAGTAGCAGGATCACTATAACTGACTCCATTGAGTTCACCACCATAGAATTCAACAATTACACCGACTTGTTCGACACTATACTTTGATTCTGCCCTTCGAAAAGGAACATCCGCTCTAACAATTCCGTCTCCGTCTACCAAAACAACCGGAAATGTTTCAAAAAAAGTAGGCATACGACGTACAAAAAGTTCACGCCCCTCTTTGTCTCTAAAGATAGGATGCCCTAACCAACCAACCGCTATTCCATCTCCATTGTCCATTGAGCCCGCTCTAAACAAACCCCCTTTTGCCGGATTATTACCGATGTAATCATAAAAAGCTAATTTTTCAGGAATTTTAGACCAAGCTTCTGATAAACTTTGATTTTTGACTAGCCCAGCACCAACTCTTCGATATATTTCTTGCTGGAAGTATCCCTGATCCCATTGATAACGAGTAGGACCAAATAATTCAATCGGGGTAGTTGCTGAACCATACCACATAGTTCCAGCAACAACAAAAGCTGCAAAAAATACAGCAGCGATACTACTGGAAAGGACGGTTTCAATATTTCCCATACGCAATCCTTTGTATAAACGTTGAGGTGGACGCACACTAAGATGGAAAAGACCCGCTAATATGCCCAATGTCCCTGCTGCAATATGATGAGAGGCTATTCCCCCCGGAACAAAAGGATCAAAACCGTCCACACCCCATGCGGGATTTACAGATTGTACCCTTCCTGTTAGTCCATAAGGATCGGATATCCATATTCCAGGACCAAATAATCCTGTTACATGAAAGGCGCCAAAACCAAAACACGCCACCCCTGCAAGAAATAAATGAATTCCAAATATTTTTGGTAAATCCAAAGAAGGTTTTCCAAGAAGGTTTTCCAGTACGTTCATCACAAAAGATTTCTAGATCCCAATAGACCCAATGCCAAATAGCCGCCAAAAAGCACAAGCCCGAAAACACAATATGTGCCGCGGCCACACCTTCGTAACTCCAAATACCCGGATTCGTTATAGTGCCTCCTGTGATATTCCAACCACCCCACGAATTGGTTATTCCTAAACGAGTCATGAAGGGTATAACGAACATACCCTGTCTCCACATTGGGTCAAGAACCGGGTCAGAGGGATCAAAAACTGCTAATTCATATAAAGCCATCGAACCGGCCCAACCAGCAACCAGAGCTGTATGCATTATATGGACAGAAAGTAAACGGCCGGGATCATTTAATACAACGGTATGAACACGATACCAAGGCAAACCCATGAAAATACCCCTTATATCAACAAAAAATAGACACTATGTAACTTTATTGCACTGTAAAAAACTATGCTATGGCCCTTCCCCTTATTAGTAAATTATATCGCATGAAATAATTTATATTTGTTCTAGTTTTTTAGAAACAAAGGAACATTCTATTCGTTGGAACAAAAAGAAGCAGATCTATTCTATATCCGATAAGTAACAATACGCAATGGCAATGGTGGTGGGGTTTAGTTTTTTTTTTTTATATGCGTGTTTATATCAGTGAATGCAGACACTGGATACTAATACAAGAACAACAAATCCCTTTTTTCGTCAAAAGAAAGATTCGTTGTTCGTGTATTAGACACAAAAAAAAAGTCTACGGGTCTTTCTTGGTTTAATTACAAAGATAGAGCTTTCTATATATATAGAAGACTTTCTTATACTAGAACTAGAAGCTGAGGGTTCTTTACATTCATTATTAGCTTCGGACTATAAACTGAGGATCAATGAAAATGTGAATAGGATTAATTGGTTTCTAATAATATAATTCATGAAGCAAAGAAGAATATTTCTAGAATTCAATTCGATAGGAAATATAGAAATATACTTTTTTTGGTTGTCGGAGATCCTTTTTGTTAGAATCCCCTCTTTCATTTTAAAGAATTCAATTCATTAGTCGTCCAGTAACACGTAACAAGAATAGCAGTAGAGACATATCCAAGAACGACCTATTCATCAAAACTTTCCTTTAGTCTTCTTTTTTGATGTTATTTGGCGAAATAAAAATGATTTTGAACAAAATCAACTCATTCTGTCTCCGGATGTTCTCACACCAAAGCAAAATCCGGTCGACAATTTCCATTCCAGTTTATGCCGGTAGGTGTTCCCAAAGTAGCCTTTGATGTTCCCGGCGAGGATGAAGCTTCTTGGATTGACTTATACTATCGACTTTTTCACGAAAGACTACTTTTTTTAGGTAAAGAGGTTAGCAGTGAAATATCAAATCAACTCGTCGGTATAATGGTATATCTAAGTTTAGAGAACAAGAACAAAGATTTGTATATGTTTATAAATTCTCCAGGCGGAGGGATTCTATCTGGAATGGCAATTTTTGATGTTATGCAATTTGTAGAAGCAGAAGTACAGACAGTATGCGTAGGATTAGCCGCTTCAATGGGATCTCTTATTTTGTTAGGAGGAGAAATTACCAAACGTCTAGCATTCCCTCATGCTTGGCGCCACTGATTCTTATTTGTAGAAAAAAAAAAGAAGACTATGTCTACGCCAGTATTAAGTCAAAAAAGCATGGCACTTTGAGTTCGATATGCAAAAATAATTTTTTTTTTTTCAAAACCATTAGATTATATATCGAAAGAGTAGTGTGAAAAAGGGGTATTTACTATTTTATCTGATCTATCGGAGCCTCTTTTAGTGTTACAATTTTTTGGACTTATTTGAAAAAAAGAAACTTTGGGATTGCTGAATCAAAAACTAGAAGAAATAAGATAGCAACGGAATCATCATAGTCTTTAAAAAAGATTCTCAAAAAAAAAGAAGGGTGGTTATTAGATTCTTTACTGATCTGGGTCTGATAAACCCGGTATATTTTTTTTTGTATTTTTTCAATGAAGGGTCAAAAAAATGAAAAATTGAAAGTAGAGCCGTATGCTATATAAAAAATAAAGAAAAAAAGAGGCTTGCCTGTACGGCGAAAAAGAAATTGAAGTTCTTTTTTCTATCTCTTCATTCTTTTTTTTTACGGTAAGATTAAGAGAAATAAACCTTAATTATAGTATACTCTCAGGGTAATGCTGCATCAACCTGCTAGTTCTTTTTATGAGGGAAACACGGGCGAATCTATGATGGAAGTGACGGAAATAATGAAAATGCAAACAACTATGATAAATATTTATTGCCAAAGAACAGGCAAACCTTCCTGGCAGATATATAAAGACATGGAAAGGGATTTTTTTATGTCAGCAGAAGAAGCCCAAGCCTACGGAATAATTGATACAGTAGCGGATTCTTTGTAAATCCAAAATTTGCATAAAATCTTTATTCCCTTTTTGATCCTAATAAATGAGAATATTTTCTTTCTACTATTTCTGATGCTTCTTTCCTAACGTACCGACTAAATGCAGAATTATAATTTGATGTTGTCTTTTATCTTTTTAATCACCCGATTTTATAGAGTCCTTATCAATTTGAAAATTATCAGGTTAGGATTGATCCAAACCAGCTCATTATGTATATGACTCCCCATGCCAACTATAAACCAACTTATTAGAAACACAAGACAGCCAATCCGGACTGTAACAAAATCTCCCGCTCTTCGGGGATGCCCTCAACGCCGAGGAACATGTATTAAGGTGTATGTGCGACTCGTTTAGATCATATACTGAAATTAAAAAATATATTCAATTAATAAGAATTGTATATATATAATTCTATTGTGTATAAAATTTATGCTTTCTCAATTGGTGCAAACCAAATTACCTTAATTTTGAATTTAAGATGAAATATACTTTTCCCATTGGTAACAAAAAGTGATCCATTAAGCGGGAAAAATCCTCTTTGAAATAAAGACAAATTATGCCCTAATTTTAGCAATAACGGACTAAGAGGGTCAACTACCCAGCTAATCTTCATACTTAAATACCGTTACTGTATAGCTAGATTTTATTGTGAAAGACCTATTACTATATATTCAATGGGTAGAGCTAAGAAGTGTGAACTGTACAAGTTCACAATAACATTGATTGAATCAAGATTCAATGAAGGAAGGGGCTCCGGTGTATAGAGAGGACCTCACCGTTTAACAAGTAATCATAGAAACGATGGAACCCACGATTTCTTTGTTTATTTCTATTTTATTTACTATGTTTTTTTGAATACCTAGTATCAATAGAAGTTATTATTAAGAGTTAAAATACTTATACTTAGAAAAAACGAAAAAAAAAAATAGTGGTTGGGAAGGTTATAGTAGCAAAAGCCATTGGAATTTATATTTTCCACATTGGAAGAATCCATGTTGTTCGTAATAGACTAGAAAGGATAAAAGAATAACTGAAAGAAAAAAATTAAATAGTTATTAATCAAAGTCTCATTTATCCAATGAACAGAATTAAACGAGGATCTATCGCGAGAAAACGGAGGACAAAATTGAGTTCCTTTACATCAGGCTTTCGCGGAGCTCATTCAAAACTTATTCGAATTATTTTCCAACAGAGAATAAAAGCTTTGGTTTCGTCTCAACGGGATAGAGATAAGAAAAAAAGGGACTTTCGCAGTTTGTGGATCAGTCGAATAAATGCAATAATAAGCCAGAATAAAGAAAAAATATACTATCGCTATAGTAATTTAATGTATAATCTGTACAAGAATCAATTGCTTCTTAATCGTAAAATAGTTGCACAAATAGCTAGATTAAAGGGGAATTGTCTTTTTATGATTGCCAACGATATCATTCAAAAATAAAAATTCCCCGGAGACTTAACTCCGGGAAGGTGGTAGAATAAAATAGATTTGTATGATAAAATAGAATTCATATGAATTAGAAAAAGAAATAATCAACCACGCTCAAAAAACAAAAAAAAAACTACCAATCCGCATAAACTTTGAGTTTAGATTCAATTAATTATTAAATTAATTGAAGTAACGTAACTCTATTTTTTTTTTTTTTTAAGAACAGGAGGAGTAGCTCTAGTAATCGACTTGATTTTTTCATATTTTTTTTTTGCATTTTTAACAAAAGGTGACGAATTTACAAAAGGTAACAAAGATAAAATACGAGCTTGTTTTATAGCAATCGTAATCAATCGTTGTTGTTTTAAGGTCAATTTATTCACACATCTAGGTATAATTTTTCCTTGTAGCGTGATAAATTCGAAAAGTAAACTCAAGTTTTTATAATCAATTCGATCCCCAGATTGGATTAGGGGCGAACTCCTACGAATTGATTGCTTCGATTTAACAAACAGTCGCTTAGATTTCTCCATGGTTTGTTTATTCCTATACCGAAAATCCCGTTTGTTTTATAAAAAAAGGATTTGTTTTAGTTATATTCTTATTTTTTTTTGTAATATATTTGGAAAATATATGCTATATAATGATCTATGTATATAATTTTATGTTATAGAATGTTATTTATATAATATAGATAAGATAATTTATCTGGTATCTATATAATTAATTTTTATGTATTTTTTCAATTTACCTCCTTAAGGGTGACACACAAGTAATCCATTTTCTCTATTTCTTGATCTCTGCGTGAATCATATGTTTGCAACAAAAGGGACAGAATTTTCTCAATTCC